AGGGAGAGGGAATAGGCAACCCTCGTCCCGCCTTCTTTAAGGCCCTGGATCTTTCTGTTGATATCTTTGCCTCTCGGAAGAGGGGAGTAAAAGACGTGTTGTACAACCACACGAGTGACTAATGTGAGACTGAGGGGGCTGTGCTGTGTACTGAGCTCTGAGATCCTTGAGTGGGGGGATGCTCTGTAAACACAAATGGCAGAACCAAGGGCCAGCCAAGTCCAGGCTGCGCTCACACCTCACACTTCCAATAACAACAGTCAAGACACAAACAGATGAACCCTGACTAACCTGTCACCTACACTGGAGAAAGGAACAGAGAGGATGGAGAATCACGTGCACCTGGTTTAAGGAAATGACAGCTAGAACTGGAGGAAAGAAAAGGGAAGAGGGGAGGTGATGACCAGGCCCTGCTCGAGGCTGTCCTGCCCTCCTGGTCTCAGTCACCCTCCAAGTGGAGCTAAAGCTCACGGGCGGACAGAGGCTGTGACCAAAGCCCTGGTGCTGTGACCAGGCCACACAGGTGCTGGCCTGGCATCCCACTTGACCTTGTCCTCTATGAAGAGGACACCTGCCTCAGAGACATTTCTATAAAAAAAGGGAGCCCCAAAAAAGTTAGCCCTTGTTGAAAGACCAAAACAGGGTCCCCCATCCAAAGTGAGTGTTTTCTCACTAATTCCGATAAACATGCACATCACAGGAAGCTCCTTTAGACTCCTGGCATCTTTCAGACCTCTAAGTGCAATGCCTGGGTTATTGATTCCTCTGTGTTAAAGCCCAACTTGGTAGTGCCCTCCCCCACTTCTACTAATTTTTCACTCATTATTTCCATCTTCACCTTTGAATTCTCTAAAACGGCAATATTTTAAAACACTAAAATGGTTTACTTGTATCAATCAATACCTGCTTTTCCACCAATTATAATTTATTTGCAGATTAACAGTTTTTTAGCTCCAGAAACATGATTCTGTCCTTTTAATATGCCCACATCAGCAAGCTCTCACAGGAAATCTGGAATGGACAGCAAAGAGCAGTGGTGGCAGAAAGACCCTTAGGCTCTGAAATTCAGACAGGAA